ATCATCTGGTGTCGTTGTGCTGTGTTGCAAGTGGTGGGGTCGGAGTGAGAGGCAAGCAATAGCAGGGAAGAAAAGGGAGATTAAGTTAAAATTAATAACAGTAAATGAAAAAGATGTACCTAAACGGGTGACGTTGTTAAGAAGAAGATCGGGCGGTGGTCTGTGATTTCTCGCTATCTCTCTATCCTCATTATATCAAGACAAGATTTTTTGAAAAAAAAAAAAAGAATCTGGGAGCACAAAAGGGGAAGCAAAAGGCAGGGGATAAGGCGCTTCACTTATAGCACTTCAGTATTATGGCTGACATTGCAATGATACAAGCTTGAGGATCGAGTTTAAAAAAGGGGGGTTGGTTAGCTGTGGTGGAGTTGGCGAATTGCATGGTGTAGATGAGGAGCGGGAACATATATTTATTTAGTTCCAGGCGTAGTAGATATTAACGATCGGGCCTCTTGGGGATCGAGGCCAAGAATGCGAACGAGGTAGTCGATACTACACAATAACGTTAATATCCCTGCTTCTCATCTTCTACCAGGCAAACCCTTTTGAATTGAAAAAAATATAAATTCTTTGAAAAAAGGGGGAATCAAAGATAACAGGAGAAATAAAAGAAAAGAGGAGAATTACATACCTAGCATCCGTCGCCAACCTCCGCTTCTCCTTCCGAAACTCCTCCTGACACGTTACCCACACATTCGTCCTTTTTTCTGGGGAGATAGTTTTGATGCGCATCTTGAACAGACCGCTGACGGGGCGATGATCCGATACCTTGACTTCATGCCGGCGGTACTCCAGCTGTTTGATCCTCCCAACGCCCCGATAAAGTAGCCGATCACACCAAGCCGGCGACCGCTTCTTCTCACTAGAATCATATTGGTCGGTGCCAACGTCGTATTTATACGTCGGTGAAAAAGTGATGGGTGCCTCGTTGAAGGCGCGGAGGCGGAAACCGGGGTTTTTGCGGCGGGAGGCAAGAAGTTGGTCGCGGTCGAGGAGTTTGGGAAGATTGCGTGCCTTAACGGCTTCGATGATGGTGTTGCGTGGCATAGAATCGATACGGTAGTTTAGATCGCCATTTAGTATGCAGATTTCGTGGTCAAGGATCATAGTGCCATCGCCACCACCGACGAAGAGGTCGATGCGTGACGAGTAGCTAGATTCGGGTGGCAGGGAACTGCTTTCAAGAATTGCAGCAATGTCATTGTTGCGATGGGTAGTTTGGGATTGGCCGGCTGCCAGATGGCAGTTTATGAAGCAGAGAGAGCTATCGTCGAGGATGAAGCGGAAGACGAGCGCACCCTATTGGCCCACGTTAAATTTAGTTTGAGCCTTTATCACAGAGAGAGACGAACCTTATTGCCGTGCAGCCCGCCCATGCCGCGCTTCACCTCCGTTGCACTGATGCCTCTGATTCTTTGACGCTCTTCTTGTTTGACGAACACGCAGGTGAATAGACCGATGAGGTTTGAGGTGTGGAGGAGGACGTAGGGCTGATCAATAGGCATTATATCATGTATACAAGAAGCAAGATAATCTTTCCAAACACGATACTGCCGGCTCATGTGTTCCTTATCTGCACTGTCTTTCTTCTTGCTGCTCATGAGGATACTCTCTATTTAAAGTTTGTCAGCTCAAATACATAACGAGAGAGAGAGAGAGAGAAAAAAAAAAAAAAAAAAAAAAAAAAAAAAAAAAAAGCTCTGAATATTCACTACGGGGTTAAGGTTCTAACTTACTAGCAGTAATTTTTTTGTTTTCCAGGTCCACAAGCTCCTGAAACCCAAAAACCAAAATATCCGGAGGACTTTCAGGGTGGACAACGTCTCGGATGAACTTGCTATCCCGCAAATTGCCCGGGACGGTTGCTCCTGCATTCCACGTAAGAACGGCCGCGGTTATTTCACGGAAATGACAGTACTCGACGTCCCTGTCATGCATTCGGGCTTCTGAAAAGTCAAAGAAAAAAAGTCAATACGCTGCGTCTGCCATGTTAGGACATGAAGGATACAAAGGATACAAACCAAGCCAGTCGTCCTCAAGCATAGCGTCCCATAGCCGAATATAATTATCCGTCCCAAGCGAAACAGCTTGCAATCGATTAACAGTCCAAACGCTACTGGAATCCAGCAACAGCCCACAGACAGCTTGGTCATGCGCCTGCCAGTCCTTCTTAACGGTCCATGGTGAAGTAGAAATATCGTAGACATAGATCATGCCTGTCTTATAGCCCGCCCAGAGGTAATCACCAACCATCGCCAGGCAATTGATTTTATATAAGCTCACGTTCAACGTTGCTCGACATGAGTAATCCTGCGCAGAGTAAATCGAAACTTTCCCATCAGCATGTCCTAGGTAAACGAGGCCACCGTCTTTGGGACTAGTGGTGCCCGACGTGATTTCGCCAGCATCTGATTTCCCGAACGGTCCCTTGAGGACTTGGAAATCCGCATCTTTAGAATTGGGACGGTAAACCCGTACTTCCTTGCCGGATGCGAGCCACAACAGGTCTCCAACAACCATCGAGAAAGTATGGCCCTTCGCAACTCGATCGTATGGGTGGCTGTAGCTGTATTGAAGATTAGGCGAACCCGATTCATCTGGAGGCCAGAGGAGTAGTTTGCCCTCATCGTCAAGCGTCCAAAGTTCCTTTTTATGCCGATAGATCTTGATAATTTCTCTCCGTGACGGTAACGTCCGCGACGAAACAATCGACTGTGTTTGAATATCAACCTCATGGATCTCCCCCGCATTCGTTCCCAGCCAAAGTAGTTTCCCCTCATCGTCCATTGTATTTCCTGGTTTAAATGCAATACATAAACCTTTGACAGTTTCCCCATGATTCAATCCTAAAACTTGCTCCCCACTTACTAGGTCCCAGACTCGAGTAAAGTACCCTGTCGTGCATGCATAGTTCCCACAAACGTCAAAAACTCGCACATCATGCTTGGTGTGAATACTCCTTGTTCCACTTTTGAATATCGGTGGGCGACGATTGGTGTTAGAAAAATCAGGGTAGTCTGTACGAGGGATTGGCGCATCGTCGAAGGGCGGCTCTGATTCCTCTGACTCAATGCGAGTGGATCTACTGGTCTGACGTTGGTTGGAAGCAGGGGGTGTCGAAAGGCATTCCACTGAGCGCATAGGTGATCGTGCAAACTGTGTCGGGGTAGAGGGTGGTTGGGTCTTGCTGTTAGCATGTATTCGGCCACCAGGCACAGCTGTGTCTCTTTGCGGTGGCGGAGGGAAATGTGGATCGGTTTGCTCGCTTCCAACACGGACGGAGAAATTCGATGTGATAGTTGATCTGGAGAGGATATCAAAGGAGCGTCTGGGTGCGAGGTCAGAAGACGGTTGAATTCCAGTCTGCGAGGGAGCACCTCGACGAGATATTCGCGCTTGGGCGCGGGGTGGCAGGCCCGGTCGATCCTCTAGATTATCGCTGGTATATTGCTTGTCCCGGGGGTCCCTGGCGCTCCTTCGTCCCGAAAGATCGGTCTCACTCCGTTTCATTGGAATCGGCGGCGGGGGGTGTTTAATGTCGCGTGTTAATACCGTCGTTGCACTTCTCGGACCGGATGAACCGTCATGCTCAGCCTCGAAAGTCGCGGATCGACGAGGATATCGAAACGGGGTAGGGTCGGGGAAAGCTCTGCGAGGTCCGCGCTCAGCAGTGGAGTAGAGCGGGGGAATGCGATTTGAGGAATCGCCGTTTGTCGCTATGGTACCCGGGGGAGCTTTTTCTGGACTACTTGGAGGGGTACTGAATGGTGAAGCTTCAACACCGACTGAGATCCTTTCCGACGCTGGCGCAAGAGATTTCGCGTTCTCCCAACGAGGAACAGCGGTGGTGTTTTTGGTAGTGGCGGGGATTTTGGGCTTTTCCGCTCTATTGACAGGGGGTGGGAGAGACGCAGCTTTGAGGCCGTTTTTGGCATCACGAGCTCTGCCCTCTGCCCAAATTACCACGCCTGAGGAATCGGTTACGGGGGTACATGGTCTGCTCGACGGACGACTCTGACTGCTAGGTGGCCTACGCGGCGGGGGAGGTTCCGGGACCGTCCGTATTTCCCTGCTGCGATTCTCGGTGGCGGGAATGACACAGGTCTGGGAAGCAGTGCGGGGAGTATCTATAGTGAGGACTGGAGCTTTCCACTGCGCGGATGAGACATTCATGGACACTGGCCTAGCCGGCATCCGTCTTCCTTGAAACCCATCTGTGTTCGTAGCCGTAACACTAGCATGATTGTGCCTGGCAGTGTGAAGCCATCTGGACGACGAAGGGGAGTGAGCAGCGGAGCGCGCATGGGAAGAAGAAGAAGAAGAAGATGACGACCAGTTTGAGGGATCCGGGCGTGGGAGATCTAAAGAAGCACGACTAGTGACGACGTTTGGGGTTTCTAGGAAGGCGGAGCGGGATTCATGGGTTGAAGCCGCAGTGGGATGATGCGACTTGGGGTTAAGGTGAGCAAGGTTTTCGAAGTGGGAGAGGAGGGAAGAAACAGGTTTCTATCAATATATAGCAGAGGATGTCAGTCAGCATGATGGTGGATAAAAGGAAACAGCAGGTAGCAGTTCTGTCATACAATAGAGTCCTCGTCGGTGCCATTCCCATCAGGGCGCTCGTTGTGCTTTGCCTCCATAGCAGAAATGACAGTAGCAAGCAGCAACCGTTAGTTGCGAATGGAAAAGCTCGACCGTATTCCGCAAACCATCTGTGTGGAGTGTGGTCGGTAATGGATAGAGACGGAGGAATGATTTGAGTGACGTCGTGAGGGAAATGCTAAGCGCATATGTTCAAGCTCCTTAAAAGCGGCTAGAAGACCTAAGACTTTGACAGGGCAGACCAACAACGGAGCTAGGAATGACGCGGCCTGCACGGCGGCCTGCACGGAGTAGACGAGCTAAACCCACAAACCAGCGAGGGACGATTGCCTGCGACAGAACAGTCGGCTATCCTCGTGATTGTGAAGTGGAGACGGAAGACGGGAGAGGACGAGAGGACGAGAGGACGAGGACAACGGGTCTAAGGAGGTTCTAAGGAGGTGTGGTGTGATGGTCAACCTTGGAACCAGGTGTTTGAGCTGCGGCGCTTTGTCTGTCCCCGTGATCTGATGATGTACATAAGTCGCTGATCATCGCTCATAGATTGTGCCCTGTTTACATCTGTCTGCTGTCCTTTGCAGTATGAATTACTTCCTACGAACTGGTCTGCCACATCTGCAATCTCCTTGTGACGCTTTATTATACCAGTTAGTTATTAGACGACTGCTGAATATTACTTAACTAGTTAACTCGTAATAGTACTGAAGAAGTTTTTGGATTATGCTAGTAAGTATGACCTCTGCAGTTAGTTATTGTAAACAGTAGAATCTTTGATGTGCCCAGCACACACTTCACTGCTACCACTGTATAGGGCTGCTGCAAATTATCATCGAAGATGGTTTTTTCGTCTTCAGTATCGAAAGCAATTCCTAAAGTGCATCTTTTCAAGTTTTGATATCAGTTGATATTCATGAATGGAGGGCGGAAGAGGTAGAGAAAGAAAGAACTTCACGGAAAACAACCATATTCGTAACTATCTGATTTTTCTAGGTATAAAACGTAAAACGTTGAGAAAAACTTTCGTCTTCATATTCCTGTGCAGTCTTCAATCCACTTGAAATGACCAATTAATAATTATCTTGCTATAAAACATAAATGAGCCCGGGGATTTCTAAGATGCCCATTTTGTACTCTGTAGCGTGATAGAATTTTGAATTCCAGATTCGGCACATCAATTCCTCAGGGAGCGATACTAGAAGCTGTTGGATTAAATATTTGTATTCCCATCTCTCCAATATCAATGGCTGAGCGATATACTCAACCCAAGATATTCCTATTCCAATACAGTTCCCGTGCGTATACCGTCATTAACATTTCCTATGATACCAATGGTAGCGGGAGAGTATAGCTATTTAACGTGTCATTTTTGAGTCTTTTCTTCGTCATTTATTGATTTACTTATGTACCCAGGGGTGAGGTGGTCTGTATTGCTGTTAGCTTGCACAGCGTATGGTCAGGTCAGGATGCGAGAAGGCGATTCTGCTAGGAGGGCACGCCTACTTAGTTTTTCACCGAGAATCAACCCGCAGCTATGGTCAAGATCATCTCTTCGTCTCTAGCAGCTACCCCGTGTTTGCCGTGCCTCCAATGCCGAGTCTAATTTCGGTTCTAATCGCGCTGCTTCTCTCGGATGATTCGGACATGGCTTACAAGCCCCCGATAACAATCGACCGGGTGAGAGATTTACGCATCATAGAGACTAGCCCGACGGCTTAGACCCCGCCAACACCAGCTTGTTGGAAACGACTGGCAAAAGGAAACGCACGACAACAGACTCCGGTTCATCAACACCGACGGTAGTTGGCATGCCAGCCGAGTTTGAATATATCGACGTACGTTCCCTCCCTCGATTTTAATAAATCGTATAAACTGACGTGGTGCCAAAAGTATTGCACGCTATCCTTTCCCAACTCTTGTGATCCTGGTTTAGAGCATAACTTTCTAGAATGATACGATTATGTGACACTCAAACCGCTCTGTTCTTCTTGTCCAAATTCGTCAAGCCAAAACGAAGAGAAACGCAGACATCAAATTCTGCAGTTGACGGGGCACTAAATGCGGTCCATATAGTGGCACGTCTCTCTGATTCTCTCTCCAAAAAGGGAGTTGAGGGCGGAGAAGAGTTTCGGCATTGCCATGTATTTGCACTAGAGAGATTGGCCTCTACTATGTAGGTTAAGCTGCAATGTTATGGACGCCTTCCTCGCAGCAGACGGTCACCATGACCAACAGCGGTGCGCAGTCAAAACGTTCTTCAGCTGCGAAGAAAACCGATTTTATCAATTCCAAAACGAGGTTAGGATATACGATAAATTCCAAGGGCGCTCATTCATTCCGTATTATTATGGTTCATTTGCAGGAATGACGTTCACGGGCCCAGCGGGCTTCCTTGTGACGGAGCTGATGGAGAGGTCGTTCAACTCATTCGATGAAATGAGCGGAGATGAGAAGTAAGTTTAGAACCGAGGATGGCCCACGATCCACGTATTCATTCCGTTGATCCATATCAAACTGATAAACTAACGGGTTAGGAACGAGGCCGTAAAATACATCGAACGACTTTACCGGGCTGGATACCACTATTGTGATTTGTATCCGTATAAGTTTGGAACGCGTCCGAATGGCGAGATGGTAATTATGGGATTTTCTGAAGTCACGCCCATCAGCCCCGATAGTACATGCAAACCTGGCAATCCAGATAAGTGCAGCTCCTTCCAAAGCGACAGAGATGATATTTTGGGGGGGGGGGGGGGGGGGGGGGGAGCTAAAAAAGGAAAACAAACCAAGGGGCCCTTCCCCTGGGGGTGGTTGCCTCCTTTTTTTTTTTTTTTTTTTTTTTTTTTTTTTTTTTTTTGGGGTGGGTATTGGGTATTGGCCAAGGGAAACTTTCTTTTTTCCAACTTTTGGAAGGAAATTGAAGGGTTGGGGGGGGCGTAAATATTCACTTGTAACAAATGCTGGGTTCTGGAGGCAAAGTGGAAGGTCATGTATGGGACTGGTAACTGAAGGAGTCTGATTCACAAAGCAAGAAGGGAGACGCCATGACACAAGAAAGAAAACGTTTGTATATACCAGCTAATTCTAGCTGGGGAAAGAAACAACCAAGGAAAAGATCCACTGCTTGACTCTTTGATGCAGCTGTTCCATTCAAAGATGAGTTTGCCAGTAGGTGATAGAAACATCCACCATTCACTGCACATCCATAGTATAAAAGTCGAAATCCGCCTCTCTTGACTTCCATTCATCAATACGAGGTTCTTATTTCCCTGAGAAACTGCTCATAAGTTAGTCAACATATCTCATACTTCGGGGTACTGCTCCTACGATCTTTCCCATGGCGACACAAATTTCTCGGCTCAACCTGCCTGGATATGGGACTTTGGCAGAATTTTATGATAACCCTCCAGTTGGGCAAATCGTAACTGACAATCCTGGCAGCGAATCCACTGCGCCGTTGGCATCAAAAGTTCCTGCAGATGTACGTCGACTGCCTCAGCTCATCGTCCAGGATACCCGAATGTGCCAGGATATCACAGAAAGACACGTATAAACCTGGGCACCGTGACAAACCCAGTACATAATCTTGGTGCTGCGCACGCTGTTGCAGAGATGTTGCTGCACACAAGGACAGGAGATGAGACAATGAATATTGATGTGTTTACCCATGCCATAGGCTATGTAGGGCATTTGTGCAGATAGCGGATGACTTAGGGCCAGCCAATATCCAATCAGTGTCGTGTCAAGAAGAAGGGGGCGTTCGTCCGAACCGGAAATTCAACGCGACGGGAGGGATGTAATTACCATTGAGCATAAGAGTGTCGCAGCTTTCAATGGACATGTCAGCAAAATTGTGAGAATGGCACAAGAGAACAATAGTCAAGGAACAAAGTTGGAACTTAAATCCTATGAAACAGGCGAAAGGTCAATTGTCTTCAAGGTGAGCGAGCTCGCGCCTGGAGAGTGTCCTGCATACATGAGAATTCAGAAGAGAGCGATCAGTTCTGACAAGATGTGTCATATCTGGGAAAGCACATGATCGACTGTGATTGTTCATGGGGGTTCTTGATCGGTGGAAATGAGTTTCTGGTCCTCTACCTGAAAAAGATCATCGAAAACCAGGAGACATATTACCACCTTATGCTTTCTGACCTGCATCATGCGTATCCGCCAGAAGCGCCTCGAGTTACCCCGTCACTAATACAGGTCCCAGTTGCCTTGCTTCTGAAAAAGCCCTCTGCAATCGAATACAAGTCACCAACATCGGAAATTGTTATCAGATACCCGACACGTACTCGATCGGGGGAAGAGCATCCAATCCAAAGACCACTAAAGACACAGCAAAGCGGAACGCGGGGAGTTGCGAGCATCTAGGCGGCGAAATCAGGGTCAGTCGTGATCAAGTCGTAATCGGGAGCACAGAACGCCATGATCTGCCCGTTCTCTTCGAGTCGCCTGGACGACTTTGAACCAGAGTAAAGATTCCTCGCCGAAGAGGATTAGCTAGTGCATCCTAAGTGATGAGTCCAGGAGGTAAAAGATAGATATTTTTTCCCCCGCTTTCTCTGATGGCCAAATCTTGATGATTGATTTCTTATCCATTTATAGTGGGAATGTGCAGCAGAGTTGCTAGCCGGGTTGGAAAATGGAGTATGAAGACATGGTTAGGAAATGGTGAGGTTGTTAGGGTTCAGTTATTTAGAGGATTGAAGTATCATAGAAAAGAACGCTCCATAGAAGTTTTCAAAACAGAGTTCATTAGAAGATTTGCACGCCAAAAGTTTTTCCGGCCGAAATTTGAGTTCCTGTTCAACTTGGACTGTATGTTTGATCGACGCTGTACGGAGTAGTGGATACTTCATTGCCCTTCTACCTCTGTCGGGCTTTCTTGGATTGTTTGGAGATTGTTTTCTTTTATGCTGTTGTTTCGCCTTGTATCATCTCGAAGTCCACTCAAATAGTGCGTATTATTCAAAACAAAAGAATATAGCCCGACCCTAGCTAGAACTATGTGGTAAGTGCGCGTCTCCTCCTCCGCCCCTCCACCATATGTCCAACCCATAAATTTACACATGTATATTCCTCTTGCCTCTATTTTAATCACGACTTCTGCTTATGCAGCACTTTCGCCCAGTAAGCACATTTTGAATGCCCAGGTCTCTATCCGCTCGCCATGCTGTGAGTTATAGGTTATCTAGCGCGCTCCCCTACGAGGCGCCGTCTGGAGTACTCCGATCCTATATAGATAACCTGGGTTAATTGTGATATCCTAGGCCGGCGATGGTTCGACTGCGCGCAATGCCACCAGGAACAGGAAAACCATGAGTTGTTGCAGTCGTTTGACATGGTTGTTAATTCCCTAGCATCCCCCATCACCGTCAGTTTGGAGGAGAATACTTTTCTGACTTGACATATTTCCTCTGCTATAGACATTCGCCTGCAAGAAATGCAAAAAGTGTTTCCGGAAGGATGCGCGAGAATTCGAGGAGAGGTATACCTATATTTCTGATATTTAGCTGCCGCTTTTCATTACCAACTCCATTCATTAACTATTTAACTTTATCTATTGATATACAGTGACGAATACTGCCCGCACTGCGATAACCATTTTGTCCTCGACGCGGTCACGCCCAAACCAGCCTTGAAGATCGAGGGGGAGGATGCCCGGATTGATTCTAGGTGGGGATTTATTCGTCTTACCAGTATCACATAGATGTGGCTAACGGCTTCGTTTCATTAATTAATTAATAGGATGTTGAAGGATGAACGAGTGCGGCAGGAGGAGGAGCGGGCAATTTTCAATGTTAAGGATGCGCCCAATCGGCTTGGATAGGATAAGGACATGATGTGGTGTTGTTGTGGTAGTTGTTTGGGGAAGTTTCATGACGATGTGACGATATAATGTTTTCAATTCTGCATCGCTTCTTTCCTTCTTCTCATTTTCTGCTTCGTGTAAATGCGATTATATGATACGACGTCAAAGATAGCATTGCCACAGGCATATTGGCAGGCCCAGAAACAGAGGATTCAAATCACGCAAAATCCATATCCGGTAAGAAGTGAAAACACAATACATGCATTACGGTCAATAAATAACTTAATAAACGGACTGAAACATCCCTCTCAGCTGTCTGACCCCTCCCCTCCGCCTCGCGTTAATATGGCCGCGGTTCCTGTCCCGGGAGTCCGTCCCGTCTTCTTCTTAGCAGCCTCCTCCTGCTTCTCCGTCTCTATGCTCTTGACATATGCCTCAATCTGATCGCCCGGGAGCAGTTCCATAGTCTTCCCAGGCGCCATTATGGCGATTTCGATATTCTTAGCCCCCGTCTGTACAACCTCCAGCAGCGACTTGATGGTCAGCTGGATCGTTGCCTCCCTGTCCATATCGTCTTTGTGATGCCGTTCTAAGAATTCTCGCACAGTCTTGCTCGAGCGGCCGATTGCGTTTGCTTTCCTGTATCCCCGTAGCCATACATTAGCTAGATATACAGACATACATGTATCACTCCAAAATGCCCATTATTCTCATATTGATAGACTTACCAAGCCGAATAAATTCCCGAAGGCTCTGTCTGGTACAGACGCGGGACATCATCGCCATGGTCAAAACCCACAATCAGCGTACTAATGCCAAACGGCCGTACGCCACCACTCTGCGTATATCGCTGCTGCACCCCAGCAACATATTTGGTGATATATTCGATGGTGACGGGATCCTCCACGGTAAGACGATGTGACTGGGCTTCTAATCTGGCTTTGTCGACTAGGATTCTGGCATCGGCATTGAGGCCTGCGAAAGCGAGGCAGACGTGGTTATCGAGCAGGCAGAGCTTGGAGGGTGTGATGCGTGTATCCTGCAGTTTCATGGCGGAGCGTTTCTCACAGCCTAGGACGACGATGTCCTTGCCCTTTACGCCGACAGCACATGTTCCTGTATAATATGCATGACTGGGTTAGTATGCATATATTCGAAGAATCCTTGATTGGGCATGGATATGGATATGATTATGTTGGGCATACCTCTCTTGACAGCTTCGAGAGCATATTCTACCTGGAAAACGTGGCCATCAGGACTTTCAACGGTGTCAGGTAGGGGCAACAACGTAAGTATATATCTTCCTGGACGCAAACATACCTAAAGACTTGTAGTATGTTAGAAGATTATCAAGTTATAGTGTACGTATCACGCAATGAAATAGCTATTGGATCAGCGACTTACCTGAAAGCGCTCGGTCATATCCAGAAGCCATATCTGAGAAGCGAGCGGCCGTGATATGTTAAGGGAGCGTGTGGCTTTAAGGATGGACAACCATGTACTGGGACAGACGACGGATGATATTTGTTGCTGGAGACTTTAGCTTAGAGATTGTCTAAGAGTTCGGAGGTTGAACGGCGTTGCCCAATTCGGGTGGGACGCAATCGCGGCTGCCTCCAGCTCGGGACAGGCGCCAAGCGCGCGTCTAATCCAGACAGCCTGGTTCCTTACTCGCCAACTCATCGGGGCACGGTAGCTAGCCCGTTCACAGCCATAACCGGTCTTATCACCAAGGAAGAATAACTGGAAATTAAGCTCCCTCAATCATGAGGAGGGATTGATAGCTAGTAACTATTATGGGTGTTATCGCCTTTCGGATTTGGAATACACACTGTTTAGTGGTGATACTGTACATCCGTTTCCAATAATCATATACAAATCCTGCAGTACCTATATACTACAATAGTGCTCCGTACACATAATTATTTTAGTACCCTATTCAGTAAGATCCTTTTTAACACTAAATTTCATATTCTGGGCAGAGGTGTAGCAACCTCGGGATAAACAAACTTGTGTCATATTAGCGCGGTGTTGGTAGATTGACCCTTATATCCCCCTTCATTTGCTCCTGTGCTAGATATTGCATCTCCTAACTGGGGTACAACCATCCAGATTCGGTGACACTCCCATAGACATCATGGTTTTCCAATCCCCATCATGGGCGTCTAGCATGCCATGAAGCTCAATACCAGATTCAATGCCGATCTGTGACTTCATTTTTGAAGAGAAGTACAGAAGGCCTTCACTAGCCAGCTCTCGAAACCCTTTTGTGTGGGGCATATCGGGTGAGAGGTATTCGGCGGTGCAAGTACGGCAACGCGTGGATTATCTCGCCAGATGCCTTGCGCAGGAGTTTGGATGGCCATCCGAATCGGGGTTCCGATTGGGATAAAATAATATGCATCTTTTCGCTGAATACTGTATGAAAATTTTATTCTAATGTATTCTCTGGGCGAGACGAGGGCGCGAAATTACAACCTCTCTGAAGAGAAAAAAGCACGTGGGGATAACTATGCCAGTAATATTTTTTTATGAATCATACGCTGAGATGTATATACACAGATTGACTATATTCCACTTGGATGGGCTATCCATAAACTATCAGGTATAGCAACACTCATCAATGCCTCCTCCACAGTAGATGAGTTGGCATATCAACTTCGCGCCTCTAAATCGTCAGTGCTATTGACTTGCATCCCTCTACTGGCCACAGCACTCGAAGCAGCTTCCAAATGCGGAATACCACACTCGCGAGTGTATATTTTGGAAATGCCGCAGGAGCTGCTGAATGGCTTAAGTACTCCGGCTGAGTTTACCACCATGAGCCGACTGATCGAGAAAGGTTCGAAGCTTTGCGACCTGGATGCTTTGAAGTGGCAGAAGGGACAAGGAGCGAGTCAATGCGCCTACTTATGCTTTTCGAGTGGGACGAGTGGATTGCCGGCATGTCATAAACTACCCCAAGAAATTATACATTTTCCGCTGCGGCACGTGCAATATTTATACGGGACGCTGCTAACGTGCTCCAGTAGAAAGGAGTACTGATTTCGCATCGGAATATGATTTCAGAGGTACTTTTATGAACGAGCTTTGAGAGTCGCGCCCGGACACCAGACCAGAAGAACGTTGTCCTGGGCCTTTTGTCCCAGGGTCACATATTTGGCCTCTCTGTTTTTCACGCTGCGGTTTTCAGAGGTGAATGTGTGGTTGTGCTGCATAAATTTGAACTCGAGACACTTTTGGCTGTTTATACAGAGGTCTAGGATAAATGTTTTATATCTGGTAAGTTCTCTGTTCTTGTGCATTGAGATGCTCAGATGCACTTTCGGCCCATTGTGCCTGCAGCGTGTACTGACAGAGAGAAGGTTCCTCCCGTAATTGTTTCCATGGTGAAGAATGAGGAACTCATGAAAATATATGACCTGGGTAGTGTGCACTCAATAATCACTGGCGCAGCTCCTCTCGGCCTGGAAACTGCTGAGCAACTGGGCAAGCTGCAGCAATCGTGGTCTATCCTTCAAGCCTACGGTATGATTCCCTTTCGCATATGTTTGTTCATATAAACTAAGGCAGAAAATCAAATGCATTATAGGCCTTACAGAAACCACAGCCGTTGCAACAGCCACCAGCCCGCATGACATCTTCTTCGGATCACCAGGTTCCTTACTTCCCTCAATTGAAGCGCGCCTCGTGTTGGCTGATGGAGACGATATTGAAGAGTACGATACACCAGGAAAACTCCTACTACGGGGCCCGACGATTGTGCTTGGATACCTCAACAACGACGCAGCAAATAAGGCGACTTTCCAGAACGGGTGGTTGCGGACCGGTGACGAGGCTGTTTTAAGGAAGAGCGCCAAAGGAGAGGATCATGTTTTCATAGTCGATAGGATTAAGGAGCTGATAGAAGTGAAGGTAAGCACTACGTACATGTAAATGGACGTTGTAAGGAGCGAGAATAGTAGGGGTTTAATTATTTGACAATTTGGTACAGGGATTCCAAGTTGCTCCCTCTGAGCTGGAAGCGCATCTGCTTACCCATCCATACGTTGCGGACACAGCCTGTTATTGCCGTTATCAATGATGATGTTGAGGAGGTCCCAAAGGCATACGTGGTCAAGGCTATGAATGCACCGGTTGATGACCACATTTTCATTCGCGATATTAAGAAGCATGTCTCGGACCATAAGGCGCGTTATAAGTGGTTGAGGGGCGGCGTGGAGGTCATTGATGTTATACCAAAGACTGCAAGCGGGAAGATATTGCGGCGTCACTTGAGAGACAGGGACCGTGGGGCGAAGGTGAAGACGAAGACAAAGGCGCGCCCGAAGTTATAATGTTATTTTAATATGCTGGACATCCGTAAATCCATACGAACTTTTCGGGAGCCAGCGGCATCTGATGGGGTCGCGTCAAGAAGCATTCATTGTCGATGTGACCAGAGCTTAACCCCATGTATTGTAGCATGTCGTGGCACCCCCATTCTATATTCCCTCGACTTGTTGGGCTTTTATAGTGTTGAAGCCGCCCAGAATCCATGAATGGGGGTGTCCGTTTTGCCGCCCAGCGCCAACGAGCTGCTGTTTCTTGGCATCATCGTCATCCCCCCCAAACTAAAAACTCACGAACACTGTTCTGAATTTTCCTCTGTTTTTTCCTCTCTTTTGCATCGTAGCTCTATCCACAATGTCTGGTGCCCGGGGTGTTTCACTCGCCATCCGGCGCGGGGGATCTTCAAGGATAAGAACAGGCAGTTTCCGTCCGAATTTCTGCGATGCACGTTCAATGCGATTCAGCACGTCCGCATCGCTTCTCGGAGCCCAGGAAATATCAGTCACGGCAACTCCTCCCAAGAGCCAATCTAAATACACCACAGACGCATATCCGAATCTAAAGAGGAACCCGAATTTCTCTGAACTTACCAGCACTCATGTCCAGCACTTTAAAACCCTCCTCAAATCCCCGTCCGCCGTCATAGATGGTTTCACAACGGACGCGACCGACGATATCGAACCGTTCAACTGCGATTGGATGCGCAAGTATCGAGGACATGCGAAGCTGGTGTTGAAACCACAGAATACAAAGCAGATGAGTGATGTTCTCAAATACTGCAATGAAAATAAATTGGCGGTCGTGCCTCAGGGTGGTAATACGGGACTGGTTGGAGGAGGCGTGCCCGTATTCGATGAGGTTATCATTAACACGGCGCGGATGAATAATATTCGCTCCTTCGATGAAAACTCAGGCGTGCTGGTCGTTGACGCTGGTGTGATTCTCGAAGTTGCTGATAAATACCTGGCGGAGCGGAATCATATTTTCCCTCTTGATCTGGGAGCGAAGGGGTCGTGTCATATCGGAGGAAATGTTGCTACTAATGCTGGAGGTCTGCGACTACTGCGTTATGGGAGTTTACATGGCAATGTACTGGGTATAGAGGCTGTTCTTCCAGATGGGACAATTATCGATGACCTGTCCACGTTACGGAAGAACAATACGGGTTACGATCTCAAGCAGCTCTTCATTGGTGGGGAGGGAACCATTGGCATTATTACTGGCGTTTCTATTATTTGTCCACAACGACCAAAGGCTGTTAATGTAGCTTTCTTCGGCATTGAAAGCTATAAACAGGCCCTAGCAGCCTTTCTGGAAGCCAAGGGCCATCTGTCAGAAATCCTATCTGCCTTTGAGTTGATGGATGGGCGGAGTCAGGACATGGTACACGGGGTAACGGGGTTGAAGAAGCCGCTGGATGGCTCGTATCCGTTCTACTGCCTTGTAGAAACGAGTGGTTCGAACGGTGAGCACGATAACGAGAAACTGGAAGGCTTTTTGGAACATGTCATGGGCGAATCTATCGTGGCAGATGGCGTGTTGGCTCAGGACGAAACACAAGCACAAGCGCTATGGCGATGGCGGGAAGGCATTACAGAAGCGCTGAGTCACCTGGGCGGAACATACAAGTATGATGTCTCCATTCCTTTAGCGGAGCTCTATCAACTCGTCGATGACACGAGAGACCGATTGACAAGCGCTGGTCTAGTTGGAGATGACGAGAACTATCCAGTCCGTGAAGTGTTGGGATATGGACATATGGGGGATTCAAATCTGCATCTCAACATCGCCGTTCGGCAGTACAACAAGCAGGTTGAGGAGCTTATTGAGCCGTGGGTGTACGAGTGGATTGCCAAGAGGAATGGCAGTATTAGTGCAGAACATGGTTTGGGAATTGCGAAGAAAGAATTCATCGGCTACAGCAAGAGCGAGACGATGATTAAGCTGATGGCCCAGCTTAAGAAACTTTACGATCCTGTAAGTTTTTGTGCTTCAATCTCATTTCTTTCGCCTGACTTCCCCTAACAAATCATCTATTTTCTAGAACGGCATCATGAATCCCTATAAATATGTGTAGCCGGTTGAGCGAATTCCACTACAGCTTTTCGGATCAGTATACCGATATAGAGGACCAGGCGTTCTATAGATTTGATTCTGGAGTTGTGGCAGTCATATTACAGAATGCGGGTGGGTGTTTCAAAAATCTTGGATTATTATCAATTCTGAGTAGATTTGGATTTGGAGGTTGCTGAATATCCGGGTTTTAATCTTTGGTTCTGGACGGAGTTGTTGTTACATAACTGTTAAGCTTGATATTGACCTCGGGATGCTCCGAACCCGAAACTTTAAATGCCGTGGCACATGTATATCCGGTCCAACCCCAAAAGGCACTAGCGTCGGGTGTTGCCATAGACAACCGATGTTTATCCCGACTGAGCAACTTTCCCCACTCCAACAGCTGAGGATCTGACAGAGCTTGAATCTTGCATGAAAACCCGGATAATTGAGTTAGTTTCAAGTTTCAGCAACGCATATCGCTAGTTACAGTTTTTTTTATTCATCCTCCAAATGTATTTTTCCACCAGTATCATCCTCCATTGACCGAATTGCGGACTCTGTCGCTTGCTGGGCCACAGTTGATTCATTGCGATCCCAGTTGCCGTGTCGTAAGCCATCTGCAAACAACTGGGGTCGATTTTGCAAACGAAAATAGAGAGCTCCATCTCCGTCGCTAGGGATACTGTTAGCGTTCCATAAGGCACGACGTGAGGCATGGCCGACGAGGGAGCTTTGGCCAATGGCTATCAAATGCTTGAGGAGCTTGGGAGTGAGTTGAGTTCGGGATACAGCTGCCGTTATGCGCTCCATATAACTGATTTTCGTTCTGTGCCGATCCAGGTGGGAGTTTTGGAACAGTGTACAAAGCCATCGACAAGGATACGGGCGAAATCGTGGCGATAAAACATGTATGATTCCTGTGGAGTTGAGAAGATATGGAGTCGAACAGCTGATCTAATCCACTCTCCTTGTTTCAGATTGACCTCGAATCTAGCGAAGATGATATCCAAGAAATCCAGCAGGAAATTGCGGTGCTAGCAACTTGTGCAAGTCCCTACGTGACGCAGTACAAGACAAGCTTTCTCAAAGGCTATAAGTTGTGGATAGTAATGGAATATTTGGGTGGTGGATCTTGTTTGGATCTGGTAATTAGCACCTTTCGACTCAGTGATAATATTTACTAATAATAGGATTCCAGCTTAAACCCGGAGTGTTTAACGAAGCCCATATCGCCATTGTCTGCCAGCAACTGTTATTAGGCCTGGATTATCTACATCAAGAGGGGAAAATACATCGAGATGTTAAAGCTGCCAATGTCCTTCTGTCTCAGTCTGGAAAGGTTAAACTGGCAGATTTCGGTGTCGCAGCCCAACTCACGAACATCAAATCGCAGCGCAATACCTTTGTTGGAACGCCGTTTTGGATGGCTCCAGAAGTTATCCAACAGGCGGGATACGATTTCAAAGCCGATATCTGGTCATTGGGTATTACGGCAATGGAAATGGCTAATGGGGAGCCACCAAACGCTAGCACGCATCCAATGAAAGTCCTCTTTCTGATTCCGAAGGCACCGGCTCCCAGATTGGAAGGAACTCACTTCACTCAAAATTTCAAAGATTTTGTCGCTCAATGTCTGATAAAAGACCCCGACCGACGACCAACAGCTAAAGAGCTGTTACGACACAAGTTCATTCGCAATGCCGGTAAGACAGAGGCATTGCAGGAGCTAATTCAACGCAGGCAAGAGTGGGAAGCAAGCAGAGGCCTGTCAGATAATATAAAATATTATGAGGAATCTATGTACGCCCCCGCCCCCCTCTTGGGATTGAGGATGCTGAGAGAATCTGCTAATTTGATATAGGGCAACCATTGATCATAAGGAAGATGAAGATGGGTGGGTGTTCGATACTTTGAAACCGGGTACTGTAGCCATGTCACACAATACGCAAAAACGAATGAAGATATCCGGACCACCAATAGAGGAGGTCGAGCCAGAAGAGGACACTGCGGAAATGCTAAAGCAATTGGAACTTATAGACACGTCAAGCATACAGAGTTCCAGCAAAACAGTGTCAAATTCCACGGTAAGACGTTCAGCCCTCTCGGCAGAGCGATCTCCATCCGTGAGACGATCGAATACCAAACGGCGGTCAAGTGGGGTAAAACAACCTCTTGGGCTAAACCTAAGTTTCGGAAATAGCCCTTCAACGGTTAGGCAATTTCGCCGGGTATCAGATAAACAAGCAGATATGACAAACGAGTCCACAGGCTATCCTCTGCCGATGGATGAGAACTGCGCACCAAAGACGCTGTTTTCGGAACCAAGTAGCAAAGAAGCTATACTGGGCAGAAGGATATATAATAAATCCATTGGACTTTCCTGCCAGGAAGTGCTCTCGACGACGTGGGATCAACAAAAACGGGAGGCTATATCCCGACTTGCCGAAGCATGGAGCGATCTTGAAATGATCGACCCAGAAGGGCTTTACCAGATCATGAAGTCGACTTGCGATAAGTTACAAGCGTGAGTTTTCGGGTCTCTCTCTAGCTTTTATCTTCCGATTAACCCTAACTTTTTTGCCCAGAGACCCCAAACTTTCCTCGATGTTTCCCAAACAGACGACGGCGGAATCCCCATCAAGACCGAAACTCGTTCTTGCCCAGAACAATCCCCATCTCAAGAGCCATCGGCGGCGACAATCCGAGCAAACTCATGCCGATGACCATTGGCAGGGAGCGGGTTTAAATCTTCCAGGACAACAAGTTCTTGGAATGGAACATACGAAGCAACTTGCGGATGTCCTTTATGATCGATGGACAGCAGGACTTCGCAGCCGATGGCGTGCTGTGTAAGGCGCAATTGTATATTATGCGTACAGGTTGTGTTGCAATTCTGTTTCTTGGGAGCTAAAATCTTTTTGGTGCCATAGCATTTTTGATTTTGAGCTCTCATCTCACTCTCTTACCGGTTGACAGGACTTGAGTCTCTAATTTAACAGACGGAAACTGTCTGCAGCCCCAACTTTCCTTGAAAAGACAGGGAAAACTTCCAGTGCCAATTTTGTTGTTTATGAATCATGTCCTCAGTTCATTTTCCTCAATCCCCTTTTTACCTAACGGTCTTGCCATCATGCATCATGCGCAACGCATGGAACTGGAGAATATAGCGCTGGCGTGATTTTATATTACCTCGATTTGTGGGGTCGTTTTCCATTTGGCTTGACAATTTATCCATAAATATCCATCTGCAAATGTTCATCGCAACGCATTGCCTGCCAGAATCGATATTTTCGATCACAAATATTGGCGGGATTATTATCATCACTCATGGTTTTAATGGTTTTGGTTTAACCAAATTGTTGTCCAAACGACCTCTGCAACACCTCTCCCAACCCTTTTTCTTCCCCATCTGTCCTCTTTCTCTGATGATATTTAGGTCCGTGGGCGTGGCATGTTTGGATCTATGTATGAATGAGAAGAAAGCACAACTGGTTGTGACTATGTATAATAACTATTTTACTTACAAATTTCTGTACTTCTCCATTTTTATCCACTCTTCAATTTTTGCTCCTTGAGATGGTTTTGACCACGCATTAGAGGTAACATTTGGATTGGAAAGCGTTAATTAAATGGCGTCTTCTCTAAGTAATGACAAATCCCTTTGCTGATGCAATTCAGGGTGAATATATAGAAAACGCACCTGGGCAGGAATGAACGCTCTCTGGGTAGCTCATCATTCTTCTCCGGTGCTGGCCGCTCCCATCAGTAGTATAATCCGGAGCAGCTTTCAAACTCAGCAAGGGCGAGACTGAGTAGTTCAGTTGACTCGCTTAACACAGACCGTATCGCGATATCCAGATTTTTGTATTTTGGGTGGTTCGAACAAGTAGAACCTGACGATTTCCACCCGCCGCTCTCAGGGAACTCACTGTATCCCAAAAAAAAAAAAAAAAAAAAACCGCTCCTCAGTTCCACCCATCGTTCCCAGCAACTGCGGATACTAGGGAGAGAGAGTCAATGGAATAACAGAAGCAGCATCAACGCAAATTCGTCCATCCGGACGCACCAACAAATGTCACCAATTTCCATCGGCTCACGGGCACACAAAACTGCCACCTTACCACAAAAATGAAGGAAGCTGTACACTATACAAGAGATATTGCCTGTGCGCAGGAAAATAGAACATCCCCTTACATCCCCTACATTCCCTACATCCCTATCGGGGGTTGCCATGTATTTATGAAGCGCGGAACTTTGTTGCATCACAACGTTTGCTGTAAAAAGAACGGCAGTTATCGAAGGTAATATGCAAGAGATGATTTATATACATATATATTTTCTGTTTTCTTTTTATTTTTTGTGATACTGTATGTGTCAGCTGCGTGTTTGATTCGTTCTTTGATTCTCTAGCAGCATGTTTCTCAACATGGGGGGCATCCTCCCAGAAGTGATGCTTTGTGATTCAATTCGACGAGCGTTTGTTTGATGTAAAAATGAATTGGACCTGACAGACACCCTCCTGTCAGAGGCTCGGGGAAATACTACTGCAGAATCAGCGAACATTTTCTATTATGCCCCTGCAGCAAGAGTTGCTTTGGAAAGGGGGAAACGATAGCTTTCCAACGCAGCACATTAAGTCTAGAGCTCCACTTCTTCCTTGCTGGAGTTAGTTGGCTAAATGGATTTACGAACAGTTACTTCATGTGGACCGTGGTAGGTGCTGTGTAGGAGGATGCAGTTTCTCTTTCAGTAGGTACTTTTCACGTATCACTAACAATCCAACTACAAAGGAAAGAAAGAAAAGAGCAAAGGATAACTAAGAGAATGAGAATGAGAAAGCAAAAGAACACTGAAAATTTTCTTCAAGTCTATTCAGATCAAGAACCTCCAACTAGATCAATCTTCGGACTTAGGATTGATAGCACTCCTTGTTGTCAAGATCATTCCGTCCTTTTCATAAAATTTTCCTTGATCTTCGTCACTGCCGCCTGCGCTTCTATGGCCCCTGTGTTCGTGCTGAAATCAATCGCCGGAACAGATTCGACTTCGGTCTCACCGTCAAGTCCAGTGAGATTCCCATTGCGGTCTTGGAAAAACTTAATCCAACTACCAACAACCGTCGCTAGAAATTGCCTCTCACCAGACCCAGTCGCTCTCTGTAAGAGGATGTTCAACGCGTTTTCGAACGCAGCTTCGAGATTTTCCGATTCTTTTATGCACTCTGTTCGTAGGACAACGCTGCAATTGAGGCGGGTAATGATTGTGCGTTGGGGATTGCCTGTCGGCTGGCCATTGACGAAGCAGGACACGTCATATTCGTGGAAATAGTTTTGAGTCTTGGGAAACCACTGATCGAGTTTCCTGCGGATGAATTTGTACTCGGCGCCCTGGGACGGGCTTTGGTGGGTTTGTTGCGAGATGATCGTCTTGAGTTCAGGTATTCTCAGCTCTGCGGTATAGTTTGCCGCGGCTGCGATGCGTGATGCCATGGTTATGGATGTCGTGGGTGATGATATTTCCGATTCCAGCAGGCTTGTTTAGGGATATGTCGAAACTAGGAAAATTGCAGCAGGAGTTCGCGGAGGACCATTTCCTAGTATAAAAAAAGAAGGGAAACGAGGAGATCTTCAGCCACTTTTATATGTTGATGGTGGATGCATAAAATACGTGATGGAATCTGTAGCACATGGGTGGAATATTCCTACTATTTAATTCATCGATTTATGTGACCCGCGGATATTGGCAGGTGGCTAAGATCGGGGTAGGGACGTACCATACTTTTGGTCATTGAATTGACCCTCTGAAGTATCTTTGGGGAGGGATATGCGGAGCGTCCACTTCCGCGGCATCACAATGCCTCTGAAACTGATCCACTCAAAGCATCACGTTTGTTTACGAAGCTATTTCATTATTTTCATCGATATTTAAGAGATTGTGGGGGTTTTTGTGCCAATGAACAAAGAACCGTCCTATAGAACCCTATTCGAGATGGATTCGTTCACGGGTAGTTTCGTAAAAGCCGAAGTACTTCTTCATGATATTCATTGCATACCAGAGGTACTTTCCTCCCAAAGTTAGAGGGTTATACCGTATGTTGAATGCGTGCAGCTTGCGGCTATGTAAGGGGCAAGATCTGGGGAATTCACAGGTAGCGTGCATGTAGAATCGAATTTGAACAACACCAAGGAAAATTCCGGCACAATTTGGACGTAAAATGGAGAGGAAATGAACGTAAATGAGAAAATGACTGGATGTAGCCGAAGAGAATGAAATACGTGAATAGCTGCAAACAAAAATTTCAGCAGCGATCTTGTTTATAAAAAAATATTCGAGTGACCGAAAGCTTTCCATGTGTTTCGTCTCTCTTTGTTCAACGGGAGACAAACAAGAATATAGTCCCGCATGCTTTCGATAGAAAGTGGGAACCAATAGAAAGGAAATAACCAGTTGAATTTGCAGAGCCCTTGGCCATCCTTCACCTATTCACATCTAGGCCTAAACTCCAACAAGGGCCCATCCCTCGTCACCAGGAAATAGTCTTCAAATTGATACTCATCAGGCCGCCGTCTCCCTTCATGTTCGTGGTTAGGGTTGCCCGCACCCAAAGTCTCATTCGCCGGGGAAACGCGCATGTCATAAGAAAATAGTAAACGCGTAAAAGCATGGCCGAGCTCGAGATACGCAAGACGTTTTCCCGCACAGCCACGTGGCCCGAGACCGAACGTGGTGAAGGCTGATCGAGCGATAGCGACCTGACTCTCGGATCCTATGTCACCGTCTAAGGCGTATGGGTCGACAATCCAGCGCTCCGGTCGGTATGAGAATGGATCTGGATAGTATTCTTCGTTATGGTTGATGGTGTAAGGAGGGGTATTTACGACAATCCCAGCAGGGAAATGGTGTTTTTCAATGGTGAGACCTCCTGGGAGAACTTGCCGGGGTAGATGAGAAGGGACAACAGGAGAGAGTCGCATTCCCTCATCGAGGCATGCGCGGAGATAAGGTAGGTTGTTGAGTGCCTTGGCTTGGATTTCATCCAGGGAAGAAAATGTGGAACGAATGATGGATGTCAATTTGCCAAGAATTTCTGGGTGGTGGGAGAGGTGGAACATGATGGCAGAAATGGCAATGGAGGTAGTATCTGAACCTGCCGCAATGAGTAGAGAGCTTTCAGAATAAAGTTCTTCGGTTGTGAGCCCCTTTCCTGTCTGGGAATCCCTGGCATTTAGTAGATAATGGGCCAGATCCTTTCTAGTTGGTTTAGAATCGTCTGTTTCGGCTTCAATACGCTGTTTCATTTGGGAAGCGGAGTAGCGTTTGTATTTCAAGTGGTCCCGAGCCATTTGACCGCCAACTACATTCATTATAGGAGAGCCGAGAAAAGGCCTCAAAAGTGGCGCCAAAGGCGACAGGCCAATCTGGGAAGAAGTGCGTATTAGGTGATGGGAAATTCATCCCGAGCACGAAAAGTAGGACTGCAACATGAGCAGGCAGGAGAGATAAATACGTACGAAATAAACCATTTTTGTTGCATTCAGCATAAGTAGAGGAACAAATCGATGCTCATCACTGTCCATGCAGTGAAACTTCTTACCAAACGTGAGGTCACCCATAATATCATAGCTCAAATATGTGGCCCAGTCAGCCATGTTCTTGGGGGAAGACCAGTCGCCTGGTTTCGAAATGCCTTCTGCGAGATGTGCACACCATGACTGAACATTTTCTATAATCATATGCTCTACTGATTTCAGAGCAGACTCTGAGAGGGCAACGTCTAAAACGCGGCGATGAAAAGCGTGTGTTTGGCGGTCAAGTATGGTTTGGGTCATAGGAGTGCCGACTGCCCCCTCAACCGTGAGATACCAGTCGGATTTGCGAACATTGGAGAGGCGTGACCCATGTATGGCTTTGAAACCAGCGACTGAGTTTATAGAGACAGTGTTCGGACCAGTCCGGACGATAGGACCTACTTCTCGGTTAGCCGGTTTAAAACAGAGCACCTAGGCGCGAGAGGCAAAATGATGTCAAATAGTAGAAATTTAGTTCACCATATTTTTGATGAGCTTTACATTCCCGCAAGTGTCGGTCGCCACTGGATGCGTTGAACAAAGTGGCCCAGTCGGATAGTTTACACGAGAATGGACCCGGGTATTTGGCTAGGGGATGGAGTGTAAGTCGATAGACGCAGACAGTAGAGCACTGATAATATGCAGTATATGGATTAGACGATATTCATTCTGCATTGGTTGTTGCTTAGTTCTTCGGACGTGTTTGGTGTATGGATGCTCACATAGCAAAAAGTGAGGATCAATACCACGGCGAAAACTGCCAACAGGCCGTTGACCCCGTCTTGAGAAGCCAATGAAAACAGCGTATCCATTGCAATATTTGTGGTGGCTAAGATCTGCTATGTAGTGTAGAAACCAGGAAATGGATCTTGGATTCTCCTCAGACACTGCACTCTCTTCACGCGACACAGACAGTATTCGAGCGGTATGCGGGGACAAGAGAGTATATTTGGGAGAGCATATTTGGGAGATGGCGGGACTTGCTAATCGCGGACAACTCCTTTGTTGAATAAGAAAAGGGTGTGTCACGAGGGAAAAAGCAATATTGTTCTTTGTTCAAATAGATGCCCGACAGATAGCGCATTAATAACTCCAGGGAATTGAACACTCCCATCCTCACACAACCAACGAATATAGCTGGATTCAAGTCCAGGCCAGAGCAAACATGCCCAAGCATCCCATCTGGGTGCTTAATGGCATGTAAAGACAAAAACGTCTGCATCCTTAAGGAGCTTGGATAGATTTCTGGGTTGAACGGTGGTGTGCTTGAGGAAGCATCCCTGCGACACATAAGTTAGTTCAAGCAGCAAGGAGTTTTCGCGAGGAAGCTCCTTGTCCATGTTTTTTTGTAGTGCATTTGCCCCAGCATCATTGAATCTTCAAACCAATCCCCGTTCTGCCCTGAACAGCATGGGTATCAATGACAAGGGTTTCTTCCTTTTGGGATCCGATTCAAACCCGTGGGTGGCAATATATTAGTAACTAGCACATTTTGGTGAGACCATCAAGTCGGAGACATGGTCCTCTGAGATCAATGGCTATTTGAGCTGTGCAACAATTAGCTGGTTCACACTGGATGATAACTGGGTCGCCAATGGTGGCCTGGGATAAACTGCTGAGGACACGTCTTGGATGATCGATGTCGTTTGTCGTTAGAATAAAGTTAAGCGGTGCCAAATACACCAGGCGAACTGAAATTGATGCTTTATCGTCAAATGAGCTAGATGAGTTGATCGACGAATGATCTTGTAAGTAGGTAGCTCCTTCAGAAACAGATAAAATGACGCTGAAATATTAGAGGGTATATATAAAAAAAAAAATCTCCTTTGCTTCATCTGTTCGAATTTTCCCATATTAAATATATGCCTTAGCTGCAAGAAACTAATTAAGTTATCACTAAGATTTAGCCCCAGCACCCACTCGGAAGATAGTAAACGATGGGATGTCCAAATATTGACCCAAATCCTGAATATCAATAGAATGTTTAATTGACTATGATAAGTCTGATAATTACATGATAAAATGCAGTATTTATAAGGAAAAGAATGCTCGATTATAGAGCGAGACAGTGCTCAGGTTTCAAGAATCAAGAGCAGATAATACGAGATATTACGAGATATTATCTCCGACAGTATCCTCTTGGAGACGCAGAGCCCGTGGTTTTCTATATGCCCCTTCAGGTTCGTACCATGCGCTGGCTCATTTTTATCCTTCCCAAACCTTACTCAACCCACCTCTGACATGCAGGCGAAAGAATGGAAAGCAATGATAGATTGACTTAACGAAGATCGTTAAGTCTTCCAAATTTCGGACAGTTACATGGTCAACCAACGGCACGAGCTTACACAAACAGAGCCTGCTACTTTAAAGTGCACCTTCAACATCTTAACAACCATGTTGTCCGTGGCTACTTTCGGAACCAATCCGACCCTGCATGAGGCATATGATACCTGAACCGCTGGCAAATACTACTACTGGGCCACCAACAATCACTGATAAATGTGCCACATACGACCCGTGGGAAATGGCACGATTGAGATTATTTGTGGGGGGAGACATGACAAGGGAGAAGTTTGGCTCGATCGAGGATAGGAACCGATGGCAAACCAATAAACAAAGGCAATAGACCTGCAGACGTATCCGCTTGTGGTGTACCATCTCGACCTCTGCCGCCGAAACGCCCAAAGGTCATGAAGACAACCCGATATATGTTTACTTTATTGGGGGCTACGAGCCCTCTATTATCTTCGATGGGGCGCTGCTGGGCTAACATTTGCTTTTTCAGGGCCCACATCCAAGTATCCATTAAATTGGATTCCCGCGTCTAGTAGAGGCAAATGCAACCGCAGGCAGTTGAGCATTCTAGGTCTTGGACCTCAGTAATATCCACATTGAGCAATGAGGGAACACAGGTCTAACTAATATAAGTAGATTTATTCCTGAGGACCAACGCATTGTAGTCAACAGACGGTGGAGGGACCTGTGGAATTTTCTGCTATTTCACGTTTGGACAGCAGTGCAAATCTCCTTCCAGTTGGCAAAATTTGGAAGGTAAATTTCCATCAGCAGAAACTGTCCTGAAAATGGCAGTTTCTACATACATACATTTAAACAAGTAAACCAAAATGGTGGATAGCGTGGTTGAGCGCTGTGTAGCGGAACCTGTTAAACAAACACCAGACGAGATGGGAGTAAACCATGAATCAAGAAAACCATAAATCAAGAATTCACACGAGAACTAATATCATTGGATGACGGAGAGAAACGAGAAAATAAACAGAAAAAAATATGTTCTCCAGCCTCCATTTATCGATAATTATCGGAGTTTAATTTTGAAAGCTCGATACTCCACCACCTCTCCTCCTCCAAATTCCTCCACCACGAGAGGGACCAGGTGCACGGGGATCGCCAACTGCAAGGAGTCAGCGGCATAAGCTACCGTACATTAGTGCTGGTCAACTTACGATTTGCCAAAGAACTAGAGGTCATCTGCTCCAGCTAGAGCGAGATCTCTCCAGGTTATCTCCAGCAGCGGCATTTGCTGACTCCGTGGAAGTCAACCTGGAGTGTTTCTCTACTTCCTGCTTCTCCAGCTGGGCTAGTGGAGCATCCCCTGCAAGGACCGAGTCAGGGCCTGCAGGGTCGCTAACCCTGAACCAATACTGAACTGGCAACTTTGCAGCACGATTAGTGTCCCCACGCCATCATCTCGACGGAGAATTTAGATTACAGCGGCCCACAGAAGCTGAGTTTGAGAAGAGAGATGTCGGAAGACACCTGCTCCAGTTGAAAATAGAAAAGTCTCTCTGAAGTTTGTTGCCGTTGGAGTAAATGTTTGTATCGTGGGTTCGGAACTCGGGATGTACTCTAAAGATGGAAAGTTGGAACTGTACTTGGGCTGAATTTATATCTACGACTCCGTCACGACCGTGACATTGACACTAGCCAACTGGAATGAAGATTCTGGCAACATGCTTCGTGTCGGGGAGTAACGACGGTAACTGCATTCATCAACCTTTGTAATCACCTTATTCTAGAGGATTGATGATACTTACATGCTAGGCCACCGGGCAAAAGAGCTCGATCACCACCAGCGTCATGCTGGCAGTAAAGGGGACGAACCAATCCAAACCTCCGGCAGTACAGCCATATCGGGAAACAGTGGGGATAATCTTGGCTCCAAGGCCCCCGGCATGGTGTTTCAGCTCGGTTTTTGGAGACCGAAGCTGACCAATGAGCCCAATAGAAAATGCGAATAAATCCCCCCGCATTTTCTAGATTTGAGGTGACTATTGACACCGAACTAGCCATACGATTCGCACAAACTACATGATCAAGAAAAGAAAGCGAAGAAAGGACAAAAAAAATATGGCGTCGTATAAAGTTGAGCTCCTGACGTCCCCAGATGACGCACCAATAATCGGCAGGATCAAAACCGAAGCTTTCGAAACCAGCACGGTCTCTCGCTACTCTTTTTTATGGGAAGGTAATGGGAAATCCGTGGTCGAAAAATGGTATATAGATCGCGAGGTGCAAGATCTACAATCCCCGAACCAATACACCATCATTTCAGTTTCTGTGACCGAGGGCACTGTCGTAAACGGTGACTCCACCAACACCAGTGCGGGAAGCCCGGAGAAGAGCCAAAACAAGAGCGATCGCAATGCTACGGGCAACAATTGGACAGTCGCCGCATGGGCGAGGTTTGCAATTCCACGTCCTATGCCGAAGGCAGTTGATGGCATGCAGGAGGAACCGGAGTATAAGAAGCAGAAGCAATATCTCATGGACAATCCGCCGTCAGGAAACCGTCCTGAGTTATTCAATGAGTTTCGAAAACATATGCAAGCGGCAAGGCAGAAATATTTAGATGAGAGTAGGGATTATGGTATGTGGTATCCATTGAACATCGTACTATATTTCTATATTTGTGTGCATATATAGATGCAGAGTTCGAAGTATATGCTAACATAAATATCCGCCATACCAGTTCTTGAGCTTCTCGCTACAAGGCCCACATGTGAGCGGCAGGGCCACGCTTCTCGACTGATAAAGTGGGGTATCGAGAGAGCGGAGGCTGAGAACGCGAGAATCTTCGTTGAAGCCTCGCCGATGGCACTGCCTCTGTATGAGCGATTGGGATGGAAGATAGTGGACACATTCCGAATAAAGCTGGCCGACTATGGGATTGATGCGGAAGGTGATGGAGATGGGTATGCGGTTATGTATATTATGATTAGAGATCCACAGGGCAATACTGGAAGTGGAGATGTGATGAGTTGATTTTTTTTTTTTTTTTTTTTTTTTTTGTTTTTTAGGTAAATATAATAGCCATGCGGGCGGGTATATAGATAATGGCTTAGGATGCTCTTTATTGTATATAAATCAGATGATCAGTCTACTGAATAGAAATATGGTGAGTACGGCTCAGATAAAGCGAAGAGAAGAAAACCAGATAGCGAACTCTATGCGATTTTTCTCAGTTGAAAAGGTTCTATCAGCGGAAAGGCCATATGGATGGATGGCCCTTGGTGGCGCGTATGGGCTGAAGTACGAAAGAGCTCAAGATGACACAGCCGATATATCAATAATGCGTTTAACAAGTCGAATTCGAGGATTCGTTGACTGTTTCCACTTCGGAGCGTTTGCTTGTATCAAAGCGATAATGGAAATTCTTCGACTACGGAGATTTCAACTGGTTAATATATGACAAACATGTCAATTAGTTAGTTAGCTAGATTCTAGATTACTAGATTTGGAAAAAAAAGTAAAAAAACAAAAGGAGGATTCCTGCCCGTGGACCCTTCAAGCTACAATCATAGCCAAAGCACCAGATGGCAACAAAATAAATACGTTCTAATTCGACAGCATTAGTATGGGCGGACCATTTTGGAGCTCCTGTGTTTTTGCTAAACGCAGCAGGCACGACATCATCCATGGCCCTTTTTATGAGTGAATGGGAGATATTTTCCTTCATGCCTCATGCCTCAAGCTCAACGAGGAGATGGTAAGAGAGTCCACGGGAGGTTATGTGGAATGGAACTGCCTCGCCAGCAGTGCGGATCGCTTCGGGGAATCGAGAGCCAAATTAATGTAGCATTTAACGGAATGACAACATTTTCAACATTTTCCAAGGTTGGACTGTTGAATTTTGATGCAGGCAGACAGTTGAATGTGGTGCTGGAAAGGTTCATCGTGGTGCAATCCGGAGCTGGAAAAACAGCTCGGTGTGGTCCTAATCTTGCACCATGCCATGATGCAAAAGTTCATTGTGATGCAATTGATGGTGGTTGAGTGCCGCAAGTAAGTTAAAGTTCTGGCCAAAGCTCCTTCTTTAAAATGGATAGAATAGGGTTGGTCACGTTCCTTGTTTCACCGCTGCCGAGGCCCAAGCCGCTAGTCCTGAAACGATGGAATCGGCCCGTGTCACGGGACTTAGCGGCTCTTGCTCATTCGTCAACCTTTGTCTCCTGAACTCCTGGACAACATTCAAATCTCCTTTTCAATATTATCACAGCGAGCTGATATTTGTTTTTGTTCGTTTTTGTTTTGATTGTTTGTCTCTGTAATTTTTCTATGTGTAGGTGTTTGGCTTGAGGTAATGTCATTCTTTGTTTACTACTCTTACCTCTACATCTATATACTCGATTTTAAGAAACCGGGAAACGGCCATGGACGAGGCCTCGACTACCACGGTTCCCGACTTACCATTCCCCGCTCCCAATGACGAACCCGGAGAAAACACCCGACTGGAAAAAAGGGCATCTCTCCCTGTACGTCCTAATGTCGCTGCTCGTCACTCAAAGCGCTTGACTTTAAATTTCCCAATTACTGTTTCACAGTCCATTGGGCACTCCCAAACACAACCCGATCAATTATCCTCTGCCTCGAGTTCCATGTGCTCGGCGACCCAGCCTTCCCACGTTATTGCCTCCCCTAACGACTCATCTACGTCAACTCCAACGCTGTTCTCGGAGACAAACAACGATGATTATGGCTTTCTTACCACTTTGGCAGCCCAGGAGCGAAAAGTGCTTGAACTTAAAGAAGAACTACAAAAGGCGGAGGCAGAGCTGGTGACACTCAAACGCCAATGGGCTCTGGTGGAGAAAGACAGAAAACGAATCGAGATATACCACCACGTGGAGCCCTTAAAACCCCTGAAACTTGCCGACTCGAATTTTTTGGATGTTTCAAATTCTCCCCAGACCGACAAGGCTACGACGGTGGTGACGAACCAGAATCATGCGAGAATGAGCCATGAACTCAAGCGACAGAGCTGGAGAAACTCACATTCTTCATCCCCTAGAGACTCCCAACTTACTATAGTCTCGGTAAAAGGCCGGACAGTTTTCCAAAGCTCCAAACACACTAGGACTCTCTCCTTACTCTCTCCCAGCACGAGCAATTCCGAATTCAAACCGTCGTTTCCCCAACCAAAAAACATAGATGGGCAAGACAAAGCTGCTAGTTCACGGCCATCGAGCTATCCGAGATCTGCAACATTACCCTCCGTCGACCGCAGCGATATTATAAGACCAACAAATGGTGGTAACTCCACCCCTGCCACAGCGGAACAAAAAGCCCAGTGGCGCCGCACTTTGCCACCAATTGCTCAAGATGTTACTGCAGAGACACTAATGAGAACCGGTCGACAGATGGCCTCAGATTTCAGGGAGGGCTTGTGGACGTTTATTGAAGATATCAGACAGGCGACAGTCGGAGAGGAGGGAATCAATGGCACAGAGTCCAGGTCAACAGCACACAATGCACAGTCTGGCCAACGGGGAATGTCAAAACGGGATGTTGGATCAGGGGCGTCGACAAGGACGGGAAGATCCACAACTCGGCGGGGCATAATGGCAGATTCGCATTCAGCATCCGGTAATGATTCAACATCAAAAGCTCAAGAGATATCCTTTTGGAGTGAATTCGGCATTGATACTCCTGACCAGAGGACAAAAAGCTCCCCCCAAAACGCCGAAAACCCCAGCCCCGACGAAATGAGACAGCAGAAACAGCAGGAGCAAGATCCAGAGGACCCGAGCCTTCAGGACGTAGATGATAATTGGGATATGTGGGATACCCCCAGCAAACCGAAGTCTTCGCACACCCCGTCTTCCAGTAGCTCAACGTTCCATTCCAACCGAGACTGTTCTCCTTTCACTGATTCCAGCAGTCCACGAACTAGTGCAAGGTCAGTCAACCAAACCATGATCCTACCTAACCTTGCCTAATTTACATTCCCCATCCTTCGCTGCCCTAAAACAAAAAACAAGAGAGGAGAATAAAAAAGAAATAATCTATACAAAAGTTAACTTCCTACCAGTTTCACAAACCCCACATCTCCGGCCTCTAAAGACGATCAAAGCACGCACACCAACAAGAAATCAGACAGCATCCCCTGGCCAGTACTCAGCAGTTTGCACCCATCCAAACTTACGCGAACAGCATCCCACCTGATGGCGGAGTGGGAGCGGAGTCTTATTCCACCAGAAGAGCGGCAAAAGTTGGCAGCTGAAACTAACGGCGATATCAATACCAGGGGAACGGAAAATTTTTAATGGTTGATGGTTAACGCGTCTCCTTTGTCTGTTTGGGTTTCGGTTTGCTATGTCACCCTGGTAACGACCAACCTGCCAATCTCCTTAATTTTCCGGCCGGGAAGCCCTCGTTACTCCACAAAGTCACCTTGTCTCTCAGTTTATGTAGTCCATAGTGGCTAAAGTACATCCCGACGTTCTTTGCACAGTCTTGCGTATGAAATAACCATACGCACGAAGGTTCCTCTCCACCTTAACCTCTTTTCAGCAAATTAGAAAAAAATTTTTCTATAGAATATTCACGATCCCCTTTACATGAAACATACTATGCTGCGCAGAAACATGGGTCTAGGGGATGTGACCCTCTTTTATTTGTTATTATTTTCTGTATATATCCTCGGTCCACGGATCCGGATTTTCTCTTCACTATTTATTTTCATCTGCTGCCTTTGAGAATCCGCTGCGCTTCTCCTTTCCTTTCTTCATGCTCCCTGCGCTCCCCCCTTTTCTTTCTTCTTTGAATTGTATATCGCCATTGTCTATCTTGTGCCCAGGTCATATGTATATGTATGTTCGTATGAATCTCGACATTGGGCAATGTTGGTATTTGACTTTTGACAAATCATATTTGCTATGTGTCTCAATATATGAGAGAGTCTACCCGGGGCCAGCTTTCCCTCTGATGATGGTCATGATTATGGTGTAAATCGTTATATTTTAGGTTGCCTGATATATATATTACATTCCTTCGCTTTCTTATATATAATGTATTAGTTATTGGCTACCGTAACGAGCCTGTATAGACTTATAGCTTCAAATCACGGTTCGACTGTCGACATCACGTGATTATCAACTAGAGCAAACCTGGAATTCTTCAAGGCTTGGCATCTGAACTTTTTTTTTGAATCCAAGCGAGGAGCTCGATGGATATAACTATCTTAACTGCGCCTGGGTTCGGAAAAAGAAGAGAAATATACTATAGATATATTCCCATTACGATCCCTCCATATTCCACACATCTGGTACTTATATTATTATAACCCTCAATCGCAGCCGTTCCTCATTCCAGCTATCCCGCGAGGAAGCTACAAACAGCGACAAAAACACAAGAAGGAAAAGCAAGGAATCCGAGGAACCCACCTATCTGATGCCCTGAAACTCTTTACCCAAGGATACCACCAGCGTGCTGCTACCAAAATATACGATACGCCTGCCACGGTGGGAGGACACCTCAGTCTGAACCCGGTACATATACACAGATAGGCCACGCACGATGAGTTTCCCAGACCTCGGCGGGGGAACCTCCGCAGCTGCGTCATCGGTGGCAGCAGGGATGGGAATTGGAGGAGCCAGTACAGCGGGAATGAGTGATCAGGAGGCGGCGATGGTGAAGACTGTGAGTGGCGAACCACCGTGTCCCTCCGTTTGCGCCTGGGTTACCTTACTTTTGGCCCTTGTGTTGGCTGGTTGCTCTACGGCAGATGTAACCTGGAACGCTACTAACTGAGTGGTTATGAGATGAATAGATCCAAGCAGCAATGGAATCGTGTCCCGTCAAATCCGTCATGGCGGGCGGAATGGGCTTCGCGCTCGGAGGTGCTTTTGGTTTATTCATGAGCAGTGTACGTCATACCCACCCCTATCTATACCGACCTTACTCCATACCACAAAAGACCGCATATCTATCCAATCCCTTCTCCTATACACCCCCTAAAGGAGAAGAAGGAACTGTCCGTCCACTAACCAAACCACAAATCCCCATCTCAACCCCAACAGATGTCCTACGACACCCCCTTGACCCCCCAAGGCCGTGAGCTCTCATCGCTCCCCGTCCGCGAACAGCTCCGCCGCGGCTTTAAAGACATGGGCAGCCGCTCGTACAGCTCCGCGAAGAATTTTGCCCTTGTTGGCGCCATGTTTAGCGGGACGGAATGCTGCATTGAAGGGTTGCGTGCGAAGAATGACCTGGCGAATGGCATCGCGGCCGGGTGTATTACGGGGGGGGTATTAGGGGCCAAAGCAGGCCCTCAGGCAGCGATGTTGGGGTGTGCTGGGTTCGCGGCGTTCAGTGCGGCGATTGATGCGTGGATGAGGCAGCCGTCGGATTGAGGGAAGAGGCGGGTATGCAGGGGAGACATTGATATTTCATCTATTTTCGTTCTCTCTTTCGGGCGTTTTGTTTGGGTGGGATATAGAGAGATACGGCTTTTTTCCTTCTCTTGCTTTTGCGTTGGTAGATATTTTTGCGGGCTACTGGCGGGCGCATTTACTGGCGTTCTTTTTTTAGTTTGCTTTTCCGCGATTTTTGGTAGGATTTCCTGGGTCCATGGTTCTTGAATGATCGGGGGAACCGGGGAAAGATAGAGAGGCCCCGAGATCCAGTTTGTGGCACTGGCATCAGAAAGATCTCGACTCCCAGATATTGATGGATGTCCGGAGATGGAGATGGAGGAAGATGGCTTCTAGCTGTATCTACGTACGCGTGTATGATAGGAGAGTCGAACGATTGGAAAAATATAAGAGAGGAAGCATATTGGAACATCGAGCAATGAATGACCTTTAATGATAGTTCATTACGCTAAATGGACATGCCTCCAAATGGTAATAATTGTCTCAGGCTCATCCAAGGGATCTGGGCATCGTGCTACCCGGAGGAGAGCAGGTGCACAGTGTGAGGGGCAACAGCAGCCTCTGCCCATAACCGGGCAATCCGACCTAGTTATGGGTCACGCTAAACGTCACCAACAACCAATGCCCGCTAGAAATTGTAGAAAGTGTGGAAATTGCACTGCCTTAGCAAAGTCCTGAGGTTTTCGGCCGAAATCGCCACCTGCTGGTTGTTTGCCGCTGGTTGGTGCAGTTGAGGGCGACGATTAAAACCCCCAAGTTTCCAAGTTGCCTGCTGCGAGAAGGGCAACGAAAACAAGGAAAGAGAGGGTGGAAGGCATAGCAAATACAAAAAATCTACGATCATATCGCAACGATGATTTCAGTGAGTAGACAGCTCTCTTTGACTTGATTTGACCCTTGGTTGCGGGTGGGCCTTCTTACCGAACAACACCGCAGCAACACGGACATCCTCAGCCCTATCAAGCCTGAGCTCTTCTAACAGCCATCTAGAAGCTCGATCCCGAACCTGTGCGTCCTTTGAACCGGGAAGCTCCACTGCACGAGCTGGTGTCGAGGTAAGGGCTTCCTTGCGCTCTGTGCCTTTATATTTGCCTTGGGGTTCCCTTGCCCTGCTAGCCCCGATTGCGTGATTTGTGTGGCGCACCTCACTCGCTGCGAGGTATCAGCTACATGGGCATTGCACATGCTGCACCTACGCTGCGTATACGCAGTACATCCTTCAAGCCAGCTAACAACTGCTCCTTGACATGATCAACCACTTAGCTTCATCACCCAGGCCCCGGATGCCTATAACCGCAACCACAGTGCCATCCCGGAGATCGACGCGGCCACCCATGTTGTCTCTGTTGGTGGAGACGTCCCCAACCCGCTCCAGCTATCCATTGAGCAACTGCGCCATGACTTCCCGCAACATGAGGTATTGGCAGCCCTGCAGTGTGCTGGGAACCGCCGCCATACCATGCGAACCAAACTCAAAGAGGTGGTGGGGCTGGATTGGATGGATGGCGCCGTTATGAATTGCACCTGGCGGGGGCCTAGGTTACGCGATATTCTGATTAAGGCTGGTGTGAAGTATAATAATTATAATGATGATCACGAAACGAATGCAATGGCCAGTGGAGCCGTTAATGGGACTTCTAATGGCCACACTGCTGCAGGTGAGAAGGGGCCGCAGATGCATGTTGCCTTTACCTGCGACCAGCTGCGTTGCCAGGATGACAGCAACTATGGCGTCAGCATTGAGTTGTGGAGGGCTATGGCTGTTGACAGGGAGGTGATTCTAGCCCTGGAGGTAAAAAATTCTTTCCCAAATTCTCTAAATATCATATAATGTAATTTGAACAAACTAATCACAACCCCCTAGATGAACAGCAAACCTCTCCAACCCGCCTACGGCTACCCCGTCCGCGTTGTTGTCCCCGGTGTCGCCGGTGCACGCTGGGTAAAATGGCTCGACACCATCTCTGTCGTCCCCGATGAATCACCCAACTTCTACCAGCAGCACGACTACAAGATCTTGCCCCCCGAAGCCCTCACCTGGGAAATCGCGGAGGAGTACTGGCCCAAGGTGCCCGCCATGCAATGCATGCCCGTCAACTCCGTCGTCGCCGTGCCTGACGACGACTCGACGGTATACCTCCCGCCGTCAGGGGAGCTGGAAATTAAAGGCTTTGCGGTCCCCTTTGGCGCGGACGGGCTTGTGGCACGTGTAGAGGTTTCGGTCTATGGCGGGA